ACTAGAACAAGAAATAAGAAAATTCTAACATTATTAGAATGAGGAATTATAAAATAAAAAAGGTAAAGTTTAACTAAATTAAAACTTCCTAAATCAACTAAACTCCTAATTAAAATAGAAAGCTACTTAAATTCCTATATGAAACCCTAAATACATAAGAAAATCAAATAAAGAAAGGGAAACAAAATTAAATCCTAGTTTAACAATTTTTTTTTCTATGTCATACTCCCCCTTATAAAAATGAACTGTCCTCGAGTTTTGTAATCCGGTGGGTGACACTTGAAATAGAGTAGTGAATCGTTTGGTAGAGCAAGCAAAACTGCTTCATCATCAATCTTCAAGTTGATGTTAAATGTCGTCGATGTTTCATCCTCTTGATCCTCAACTTGAATGTTTTCTTTTTGTTGAATATACTTTTCATGCTCAATCTTCTCTTCTTGCTCAACCTTCTCTTCTTGGACAACTTGCTTAGCTTCCATGTCGGCTTCCTTCTCAATCTCTTTTGATGTGTGATATTCAATTAGTACCATCTCATGATCTTTGTTGGCTTTAATAATTTCTTCAGGAAATGCCTTAGGCGTCTTGTTTTCCTCCATAATTGGTGAGGCGTGTGTTTTCTAAAGATGAATTCTTATTTTCTTTATTTGTGATTCAACCTAAAAAGCTAGTTTGAGGACATCAAGCAATGTATGGTCAGGTTGAAAATCAATTTGAGCTCGAATGTTTGCATTAACACCCATCAGAGAATCTCAAAACTACTATATATGGACGTTCATTATAGTCAATGTGGAGTAACAACCGATGATAGTATCTATTACCTTCACAAGAACTCACATATTGACAGATAAAACAGCCCCAACAACAAAAGTTTATATTTTAACAAAATACCCCCAACCACTACAGACGCCAGCCAGTCGTTGGCCACCACTATCGACCGTTGCCGATAATCATCGTAACAGCGCACGACCAGCCAAATCTGGCTAGCCGTTTCCAGCCAGAGCAAAGGTCGAAAACGACCAAATGGTCATGAATCTGGCTGAAAATAGTCAAATCTATTATGGCCGTTAACGGCTAAATTGTGGCCATTAACGACCATGGATCTGGCCGGAAACAACCAGAATAGATCTAGTCGGGCCATCTAGCCGTTTCTAGCCTTCGATCTGATCGAAAACGGTCGACCAGATCCAACCGGTCACACGCCATTTCGATGACTACCAATGGTGGCCCACAACCGGCAATCGACTATAGTGGCTAGGGTTTTTAGGTGGTATTCATATAAATAGTGAGGGGCATTTCTGTCCAAAAAAATAATTTATGAGGTTATAGACGTCATTTTACACAGTTGGGCTAATTGTTATTTAGTAGACATATGAGGGTATTTGTATCCTAAACGTTTTTTAATTAAGGGTAAAATTAGTATGAGTAGTGGATTACCCCAATAATCTTTTATTAACACCCCCTGAGATGGTAATCTGATTACCCCCTATATCACTTATAGTAAACACTATTGGCTTTGCAATATTACCGAAATATTTTATTACTTGATAGCCAAACATGGGAATGTCATGAAGAAAAGATAGATTGCCAATGTTATCTTCCTATAGCCCTAACCAAACGCACCTATAGTAATTACTGTTGGTTATATAGGTGATAATCTGATTATCTCCATTTTCTTAGGTATTTCAAGATTACTTGGTAATCTTAATTTTGTTACAATTTTACTCTTAACTATTAAAAACATGAGATCCATGGCTGTTAAAAACCAGATCTATTATGGTCATAGATCTAGCCGTTAACAGCCATTGATCTGGCCAAAAACAACCATATTAGTGCACGGTCTACCAAATCCAGCCGGTCGTGTGCCATTATGGCGACTGTCGGCGGTTGATAGTGGCTTAGGGTGGATGATGATGATTTTGTTACAAACTAAACTTTTATATGGCTTTGGTGTTTTAGCAAAATCTCAAATGTAGGGGGTTAAAAGAAATTATTCAAAAAATAATATTATATTAATATTTAAAAATGAGGGCAATTTAGTAATCTATATGACATACCAATCAATTTATTCGTTCCAACCAAACATATAAATATAACATACTGACCAATTTATTCCAATCAACCAAACACATTTCCCTAAACATTCCCAACAATCTTCAAGATAATTTATTTTTCCATTAATATAACATTTCCAGTAATACGACATTCCCTGAACCAAACGCACCCTATTATTAAAGTTAATATATGTTATGCGAAATGATTGGTTATACACCATAAATGTCGAGTGTGTTTAATCAACCCTTTTACATACCTTTCTTAATTTTGCTATTGTAACACTGGGTTCTTTTATTGTAACTCTCTTTTATTATCAATAACATATTTTTGTTTTCTATAACGAAAAAAAAAAATTAGCTTATGAATATTGTTATGATCCTATGATGTAAAGTGACAAAATGTTATAAGATGATGTTCGTTTTATAACCATTTAAAAATCTGAAAAACCTGAGTGGGCTTTAAGTTTTTGACCAAGCCTCATAATAAGCCCATCATAATTTGAGGGATCTAGGCTCAAATGGTCGGTGGGATAAGGTGGATGAAGAGACTTATATCCAAGCCCAAATCATTTGCGAAATGAGAGCTGTTCAATATCCAACTTCATCACTGTTTGCTAATAAATAGTGTTGGTGTCCCCCATCATAGAGAAAGAACTATATGTTTACCCGCCTGCAAATAACGATTTGAGAGCTTGAAATGTTAATCAAGAAAAAACTTAACCTTTTCTTTTGAATATTGATTTTAGATAGGTTGCTTGATAATTGAGATACAATTCTCGTATCCTGGAATATTATAAGGATGAGTCTGGAATAATTTATGAGCATTGATAACTCAATTGGATAGACAATTTTCGGAGTAAGAATGCAATACAATTGATGAAGTTAAAATTTTGGTTTTGTGCAGTCTTATAAGAAATTAACATCCAATTGCAGCATACATCAAGAATGTTCCTTAAATTACTGTAGCCAAAACAATCATCCTTCTGAATTTATTGTAAGATCACCAATCTAGGTGCATTTATTCTTCAAAATTAATTCTTGTGGATGATGTGCCCATAAGTTCCCCACCGCCGCCGCCGCCCCGCCCCCCCCAGGTTAAAGAGTAAAAGGTTTGCCTTTATGACATCTTTCCACCCAAAAAGTTTCAAAATACCACTTTTCCATCCAAAGTTTATATTTTGTTTACTATCCAGAATGCACTTTCCGATTCGGCAGACAACGGAGAGAAAACTTGGTCCAAGTTGTTGGGGTTTTTGAAGAGGGGATATCGGTGAGTCTTTTGGAGGTGGCAGGCTAGATTTTGTTGGTCGAGATTGATCAAAATCTAACTTGGGAGGGACAGATGCACATTACACAAAACACTCGATTGGCGGGAGCAAGGTTTGAGGGGTTTTGGCGAGTGATGATCAGAGAAGAGAATGGTGGTGGCTTAGAGTTGCAATGATGCTAGAATCAGCCAACGATTGGTCAGAATATAAGCTTTAGGTGAAAAAGTGGTATTTTTAAACTTTTTTTGTGGGAACAAGTCATTTACTCTCCATTAAAATGGATAACTGACTGAGTCTAAATTAATTAACGGCCTGTCAAAGAGAGAGAAAAGATAGTGGGTGCTTCTCTAGAGTAATATAGTTCCATATTGATGTAATTTCCAGGATAAATTAATTAATATGTAGTAGGAATTAGTTCAAAATAATTAATAAACGTAAAATAACATCACTAGTCACTATTTTTGGGTGAAATGATGTACTGCAAAGGTACACAGATTGAAGTTTTTGACATAGAAGTCTTACAACCAGAAGTCAAATTTAAATAATCTTCCAGGGCTTTGAAGCTGACTGGTAGGAGAGAATTTGGTAATATCTTATGGGGAACATTTCTCCAGATTACAGTCCCACTGAAATCTCAAAGCTATTTGTTATGCCCGGGAAATAAAGGGTTGACGTGGAGTCACGTGACGAAACGTGGCCTGCTCCCGTCAGAATGGTAAGCGCACGTCAGGCCTGCCAAGCACCCTGGAACTTCCACGTGTCCGCTTACCTGCTCCAAATCGTGTAAAATCAGCTTGGGAAATGGGTAATGGGACGTAAAGCCTGATTATGTTCTGACATTCACACCAACCCAAGGATTTAATGATGATTACACGCATTCAGCTTGGTATAAGAAGAGGAAGACCCCTTCATTAAGGGGATTCGATCATTTGACATAAAAAACTCTCTCTCTCTCTTAAAAGAAGGCTTTGTATTTACTTTTCAATCATCTGTAAGTCAATCCGTTTTAGCAACCTGACCCACCATATTAATACAAATCAGTGGATGTAGGATTTGCTACCTTAGCATCCGAACCACTTTAAAAGCTCTCATTGCATTTATTCATACTGATAATTCATATTCACGTGTGTTCCTTGCCCAATCAGCACTGCACAGTGTTCAATTAGTTGGTGCCCAAACGCGCCTCAACACTATTGAAGTCTGATTAGTAATATACATGTTCTGGTTGGTTGTTAAATATATAGAGAATTGCAACTCTCAGTATAAAAACTGTACTCAATGTGTACTTTGAACCGATACACAATCACAGGATCCAGTGTCCACAAAACTGAAAGTTAAATTGATTGGTGAGTAGGGCCTTTGTGTAGCAAATATTCCAGGATGAAGTGAAGTACATATTTGAAGAATTCCAGGAATTGGACACCAGACATTTCCAGCACTCGAGGACAAATGTAATTGAGATTTGAGGGTCAACAAGAAATTCAAAAGAGTAATGCTACATCCACAATCTCTTCTCATAAACTCTCTTATAGCTCGCAATTGTTAGTCACAATTTGTCAAGTGGGACCAAATATGACTATTACGAGTTGACCAATTGCAAGTGTTACGTCGGAGTTATGAGAAGTATTGTGAGAAGAGGTTGTGGATATAGTATTTTCATTCAGAATATATATAACACTGATTGAAATATAAAAATTAAACAAAGCTGAAAATTGGTTTCATTAATTGTGATCATATGAGCCGTAGCTGCATTAAAACAAATGAAACTGCTGGATATATACAATCCAAGAATAAACCATCTCACCTGAATCAAAAAGCTAAAATCATACGTAATTCTAAGAGCCTTTTTTTTTTTTTTTTTTTTTTGTTGATCATTAGAGAACACATCAATGTCTCCCAATTATCTCTAATGTGTTGTTGTATCGTGTATAACTTATTGGTAAGTTATTCTTAACGGGAACCAGTCATCATTGATTCTTGTATTTCTTCTAACGTTCGACCCTTGGTTTCTGGCACCAACTTTGCAATGAATAGAACACCAACAGCACATATGCCACCATATATGAAGAATATTCCTGAAATAATGTATAAAAAATTAACTCAGTAACTTCAACTCAAAATAATACTATTACTTGTACCCTTTCATAAAACAAGTGATTTCCCATGTAGTTTAGAGATTCATCAAAATCTTTCCCTTCCGAATTATTCGAATGCGGTTTCTGATGAATTTCAAAACCACTAGGATCTGTTTAATCTAGTGATAGTGAGAGAAAGAAGTTGGCAATGAGGGAGGATCACCTGATTGACTCCAATCAAATATATAGCTGAAACTGTAGGAAACAACCCAGGATCCAAACCAACTGACAAGGACTACAAGGCTTCCAGCTGGACCCTTAATGTTTATCGGAAAAATCTGAAACAAAAATCCATCATTTAGTACAACCAATTAAAGCTTTGTTTGTCTCAGAAGCTGAGAAAATATTATGCATTACCTCTGACATTATAATCCAGGGTATTCCTCCTAGACCAAGTTGAAGAAGTCCCAAATACACCTGATTTGAAGAATCAAACAAACAATCCTTATATAAAGACATATCTACCAGGATTATATGAGATCCTGAATAACATAAAAATAAATTTCATCTCTCATATTTTTCCCCTTTATATACTATAAGTGAACAAAGAAAACAAATGCACAGAGGCAAGCTTCATTACCAATACACCAATAAGAGCCAAAGAGGCAGTGAGCTCCCTCTGAGCGCCAAGGTCCTGCTCATGAAAGCAGAGATTCATTACCCAAAACAACAGCCATAAGGAAAAAAGTAGAGGCTGGCAGGCAGGGGAGGTGAAGTAAAGTGGTATATGTATAAATATTTGCAATAAACCGAACCTTGAACAGATATGCTGACCCTGTAATGATACAACCCAAGCAAGATCCCACTGTAGAAATCTGCAAACATTAGCAAAATTCAGCTTTTTTGTTTATTTGTTGATAATCAACATTACAAACTTAAACATAAGATTCTTGTTCATTCTAACCAGTAACATTGGTCGCCTTCCAGCCTTGTCTATCAAGAGAAGTCCCAAAACAGTTGTTATAACCTGCAGATATAATATCAACCATAGCTGAGGTATAAATCAATCAACAACCCATATTACAAGAATTACACATATTGAGGCTGTAATTAACCTGAACAATAGATGCTGCTATAGTACCAATCTTGCTCGGAAACCCTGTTGTAAAATAATAAAATTAGAAGTGTAGTCATATTTATAAATTCCATAGTACTCCTTTTAATCTATCTTATGGAGAATTAAAATGATTCACATAGTTTACCAGCATCCTTAAAAATTGTGCTTGCATAGAACACAAAACCATAAAGTCCCCCAAATCGTTGGAAAAAAATCAGGCCAACTCCAACCTGAAACAGTTTTGAAACATCAATAAATCAAATAAGGAATAAAGGGATTACCCGCTGCTGCAAGATTTGGATGAATGAAGTATAAGACTTACAACAAGTGTATAAAGATATTTCCGCTGGAACATGTTGAAAAATCCACCTTCTGACATCTGATTTAGATATTCTGTATATTCCTGCCAATTCAAGAACAAATTCCTGTCTCATTTCTGTATCTGAGCTGAGAGTTAATTTCAAAAATTTTATGAAATGTATCTCTGAGTTGAAGCTCAGAAAAAGTTACTCATGAAACATGTTAAATTTTACTTGGATTTCAGCGGCTTCTGGCGCAACATCAGCATCCGGTCCCCTCAGGCGCTGAAGAGAATCTTCAAACTCTTTCATTTTACCTACATTTGCCTGCAGACAATAGCACTCATATTATGATGTACTATAACTAATGGCACCTAAATTATGCCAATTTGGCCTTAACAAGTGTCATTAACCGAAAACACATCTACATTGTTGAAATAATCCAAAACTTTTATAAACTAACATAGATTTCCATACCATTTGCAGGCGATGTGAAATACTGCAGTATTACTAAAAATTTGGTATTCTATTTCATTTTTCAGCTAAATGATTATATCCAAATCAATTTAAGTAAGACTCACCAGCCATCTGGGGGACTCTGGAATGAAGAATAGGCAAGGAAGTTGTATTATTCCTGGAACAATTCCTGCAAGTAAAATCACATACAAACTAATTTAGTTTTTGGAACAACCTAGGCATCATTGTATTAGAATCAATGCAAGAGCTTGTAGAAGTGACCTATAAAGGCCAAGATTTGCCAGTTGACAAGAGAACCGAAGAGAAAGGCCAAAGATTGGCCTAAACCCATAAACAACTGCAAAATAGAATCATGCAAACACCTAAGCAGACTTGACCTTCAACAAAATATATAAAGAAGAAGGAACCATTAATCAAAATTTTCTAAAATGGGGACATTTATGTACCGGATTTAGTGCAGTGAAAGCTCCTCTAACATGCTTAGGAGAAATTTCTGCAACATATATGGGAACCTGGATGACAATAGATTGCAGTAAGACCATTATTAATTAATTTATCAAAGAAATATGTCAGATTTGAAATGGTATAGGAAGCTTGGAAAAAATAATTACGCAATAAGAAGTAAGTCCAATTCCACATCCCAATATAAATCTTCCCAAGTCTAGCCATGTTGCATCCTGTCAACAAGCATTAAAAAATTTGTCATTTTCAAACCACATTTATCTGTTAAGGAAAGCTCCAAGAACATAACATGCATAGCAATTACAAGGCCATTCAAAATGCTGCTCCAGGTAAAGAACTTTGGTGGGAAAGGAAAGATGAGAAACCTTAGCGAATATCATTAAAACCCAACCAGCTATGCAGATCAATTCTGAAATTCCCATTGCCTGTGTTACAACATCAATCATATTAATCACTGATAATTAATGCAAAAAAACAATTTATAATCACCAAGGATCTGAAAACTTACCCATCTTCGACCAATGAAGTCGGCAATTCTCCCACTTATCACCGCTCCTAACATTGCTCCTATTGTCAATATTGAGCTAAAAACTGCATACTGAAAAATGTACAAGCATAGTTAATCAGTAACTGTGAAATATTTTACAAAAAACTTGTACTTAAAACAAACTTTCATTAACCTTAACATCACAGTAACAGTTCAATTAATGAATGGCATTGCCAACAGTCATCTCCAGTAACAAAGTTCAATTCATGTCATGGCCTTTGAGTTTTGAGTTTATCGGTACACTGCCATGACTTTTTTTTGTGTTCAACATAGTAAAATGTCACAAGTATTCTTTGTTAGTTTACACTTCTTTTTCCATAGTAATGTACCGACACTACACTATTCATTCATATGGTGAGAACTAGAAAATAAAAATGTCAAGTAACTGGACCATTTCGGCCTTAACCTGGACCATTTTCAACCAAAACCAACCTTTATACTCTGCTTAATATGTCAATTCAAATCAAGCAAAAATGGAGCCCATTGTTGTTTTTTCTTTCAAAATGTTAGGTGAACGTATAAACATAAGAAGAAATCTCATCAAATAATTCACATGAATGGGACACAAACATTAAATGATGCTATACTGTCAACTACAGTGGCCCATATAGGGAAAAAAGCTTCATTTTCAGCCATCACTTGTTTTTTTCTATCATTATTCATAAATAAAGAGGAGATAATTTAACAATGTTGAGGAAAGAGGATGCATAAAGCAAAAGCATGTCAGCATCAAATAACAGTAAATCACAGTACCCGGATAAAATTTCCGAGGCCAAAAAGAATTGCTTAGACTCAAAGTAAAAGATCTTGAATTATTTCTTTGAAAATAAAAAAATAACTGGACCTAAGAGTAAGAAACAAAGTAATGTTTTAAGAAAATCCCAAAAAATAAATAATCATATATAATGTAATTGACTAGTAAGTAGTTGATTTATTTCAGTAATAAAGTACAATATTAATGCTTATAAAATAAATTGATGTGTCATCTCACCTGCTCCAAGCCTCTTAATTAATTAATATTATAAGGTTTGCATTAAAGGAACTCAACTGGCTCATTTAAAGACTAGTACAGTACGTAAAAACTCTTTTAAAAAAGTAAAAAAGAAAAGAAAGAAACGAAATGAAGAAGATGAAATGAGTACTGAAACTCACCTGGGAAGTAGTCAGGCCAAGGTCTTCAATGATTCCAGACTCAGCCGGCGATGAATATCCGACCTGCAAATCAAATAAGTCATCTTCAATATGAAATAATCGTGTAATCAAAAGCAAGGAATAATGAATAAATTTTCAGTTTAATATGTATATATATATATATATATAAAATTAAAACTTACGGCATGTCCATAAACGTAGGAGCCAAGAACGGCAACCACGCTGCTGAAAATAAGCTTAACAGTGACAGGCCCTGATGGCTCATCTGGCAGAAGCGGTTCACTATGAAAGCTATGAATGGAGACTCCACTTTTCATAATAAATGAACTCGTTAGTAACCCTTCCGCCATGTTTGAATATCTGCAAGAGAGAAGAGCAGAGAAAGAAAAAAGAAAAGAGAGAGAAATCAAGGAGAGGTTTGAGAGTTAGTTCGTTGAGCTAAATTTTTCTCGCATATTATATATATATATATGCATAGGAATTGATGATGTAGAGCATTGACGACAAGGTTTAAGAAGGATCATGTGGTTTAATTAAGTTTAATAATTGTTGATTGGTCAAACTACATCAAACCAATTAAGTTCATGGTGTGGAAACAGTACTGAGAGACATGTGAATGTGATTCCAAGAATCGACTAATTTTATCAAATAATTTGAAAAGAATGGTGAAGTGGTGAAGTAGTAGTGAAGTACCCACTTCTTCAATCTGAAATTTTCAGAAAATATTATTACTGTGAGCAAGAAGACAAGATATACTAATAGCAGACGAACCTGCACTTGGGTCTTCGGAGTTGGAACACGAAAAGGACGAGCAATCAATAGATTCGAGTTCTTGCGTTCGGGACTGGAGTTTGGAAGTGGAACCTTCTCTCTAGTTTTCCTCTTTATATTTTTTCGTATACGCTGTCACGCATCTTGTTACATCTGGCATCCAACTAATTTAATGTATGGTCAAGATTTGGGCGGCATTCTATTTCTTTTTTATGTATTATCCTTTACAACACGTAACGGCTGCGTTTAATTCCTTTTTTCAAAATACTCTATCTCTATCATGAAAAAAATGCATATTTGTTTCATATTCTCAAAATTATATTTTATAATATTAAACTATTTTAAAACCCCATAAGTTTCTTAATTTAATTAAACACCTCTAATAAAAAAAGTTTTATAAATTGACAAAAACACCCCCATTCACCCACATTTGTCAGATTCTGACAACCACCATCGGAAAGTAGCTATAATCTGACGTAATGGCGCACTATCAGCTGGATCTGACCAGTAGTGTGTCGATATAGTCTTTTCCAACCAGATCCACAACCAAAGATAGCCAGATCTGGCTATCAACGACCAAATCCGACCATAGATCTAACATTTTCCGACTAGATTGACTAATATATGGCCGTCGTTGACAGTCAATGACAACTGTCTGATCGTAGATCTAGCCTTTTTCGATCAAATCGTTGGTGGATCTGGATTTGACCTTTTCCGGTCAAATCGTTGGTGGATCTAGATCTGGCCAGAAAAAGGTCATAGCAGCGCACGATTGGTCAAATCTGGCCAGTTGATAAACCAATATTTGTCTTAGTATTTTGTTTGTTTTTTGTTGTTATTTGTGTCCTTTACCTTAAGAATATGTTACTTTGAAGTGGTTTTTACTATTTTGAAGGTAAATGAGCTTTTGGAATGCATTTGCAAGAAATCATGCAAAATTGGTCAAGAATCAAAGTTGAAAAGAGGAAGAAAAATGCGAAGTAACTAGATGGCGTCGTGGCATGGTTTTTCTATGTCGCGGCGTGAAAAAGTTATCTCGGCAAAAAGTTGATGTCGCGGCATAAAGAATTAGGCGCTGCGATGCAGAAGAGTTTAAGGTTTGCGGGAAGATGTGGCGCCACGGCGTGGATTGCAGAGAAAATAAAATTCTCAACTTTTCCAACTCCGACTTGAATTTGTACTTTCCCCAAAACAACCTTAGCAAAGAAAAACTATAAATAGGACATGTAATTTATTTTAGAGAGAATTCTTTTTGACCTAATTTGAGAGTTTTATGCTTTTGAGAGTGTTGCTTTATTGAGAGAATTTGTGAGATTTCAACAATGGAGATAAGGAAGAGGATCAATCTACTTCAACTCCTAGGTGATTTCTTTTTAGTTACATCTTATTTTGCAATATGATTAGGTTTTCATTCATTGAGTTCATTGGTTTGAGTTTGATTATGAACAATTAATATATCGTGAGAGTTTAATTTAACTATCATGATTGTATTGGGTATTTGGTGATTTGTTTTATGAAGATTTTAGATTGTTTCTTGTTTAATTGTTCTTCATGATATTAATTATAATTTGTTGACCGGCCAACTACTTTTTATAATTAAAATTGAGAATTAGGGTTCTAGTGATCATCTTGCCTTAATTAAGCTTTATTACACGAGTTGTGTGATTTCCTAGTACAGATTATGATTAATTAGTTAACAACTTGATCATAGAAGTTAATTAGTTAATTATAAACAGAGAATAAACATGATCATTGAAATTTTCTATGGTTTAGAGGAAAAATCAAAAATCTGAATTTAGGGTTTAATTGTTTTATTTGCCAAATATCCCAATACATGATTGAGAAGTTAGCTAAACCTTCACTTTCACTCTCATTGGTTTAATTAACATTCAACAAATTGCATTCATTAGTTTTTATTAATTGACAGTTTTATTTTAGATTAATTTCATCCAACTTTTAGTTAAAGTGTTTAGGATTTTATTAATTGTTTAGTTTAGTTGTTAAAGAAAATAAATTAAGAATTTAGACCACTGCAATTCCACGAGAGATCGACCATGAGAGTAAACTTATCGCTAGCTATTAGTGATTCGTGTGCTTGCGAGTATTAAATTTGCACATCACCGATCGTGCGCAATGAAACAAGATTCCAGCCAAATTTCAGCAATGGTGGCCAAAATCTAGCAGCTATGGGTGCATAGGGGTGTTTTTGTCAACTTATAAACTTTTATTATTGGGAGTGTTTAGCTAAATTAATAAACCTATAGGTGTTTTTTATTAATTTTTAAATTCTTACTTGTAATAATAACTCAACTCAATTTAACAATAATATTTCAAAAATGCTACTCAAAATAATAAAATAATCACACCCATTGTTTTTGCCTTTGTGTTCCCCCTAACAACACAAAAATATATATAAAAACATGTATTCTACACAATTTAATTATCAATAAATATAGACATGCTTTATTTTATTCTATCTTTTCTTTTCTTTTCTTTAAACATTAATGTTATCGGATACAAACATCAAATTAATTCTTATAATTATCTGATGTTGTTATATAAACAGCCGTATCAAACAATCATATCGATTGAGATTGAATCTCTTTTTTTTTTAATCATCAGGAGTATTCAGACCAGATTATACACATCTCAACTACAGACCCTAAAATTGTCAATCGAGTAAAAGTTTCAGTAGCTACATTTATTAGTGTTTGAGGGACTCAAACTCAAGAACTCTCATGAAACCTCTTTTTACTATTTTACCATCACGCCACCTAATAGTGGTTAGATTGGATTGAATCTTTTTGATACAAAATTCTAATCAGAGTAAGATGATATACAGGAAAAAGATCTAGGATACTTAGGCTTCATTTGGTTGGTTTTTGGGAATACTATTATTAGTATTCTCAAAAAAGTTAAATAGTAAAATGCCCAAAAACTCACGGGTGCGTTTGGCTTATTATTTTTATCCATATTCTGGATCCTATTCTTCAAATGTTGTTTGGCACGTTATTCCCAAAATATTAGTTTATTTTTTTAATTACTTTTAGACCCTATAAGTTTATTAATTTCATTAAATACCCCTCAGAAAAAAAGTTTAAAAACTAACAAAAACACCCTCACCCTCCAATACTTGCCAGATTCCGGCAACCACCGCTGATGGTAGCCGAAATCTATCAAAACAGTCACAACACCACCAAAAATTGCCAGTAATGGCCAGATCTGGCAGTCACCGACAGCTAAAGAAATGGCTGTCGTTGACTGTCAAAGATGGCCTTTTCCGGCCGTCAAAGGCCACATCCGGCCTTAGATCTAGCCTTTTCCGGCCAGATCCTTGGTGGATAAGGCCGAAAAAGGCCATATTGATCGAATACAGTCCAGATCCGACAGGTATGTGTTGCCATTTCCATTTTTCGGTCAGATTCCGGCAATGGTGGCCGGGTGGTAAGGGTGTTTTTGTCATTTTACAATATTTCAATATATTAGGGTATTTATTAAATTAGCAAACCTTGTGGGCTTTTTCATAAATTTTTAAATTTTATCTCGTAATACTCCCCTATCTAATTATCCAATATTATTCCCAAAATCCTACCCAAAATAATAAACCAAACGCATCCCACAATATTATCCAATATTATTCAACTTACTTTAAAGCCCCTAAATTTTTTAATTTAATTAAATACCCCTAAATATTTTTTTCTCAAAATTACAAAAACACCCCTAAACCCATATTATATCAGATTTCGACCACCACTGCCGGAAGTTGGTCAGAATCTGATATAATGGTGCACTACCGGCTGAATCTGGCTGGTAGTGCGCCGATCTAAACTTTTCCGGCCAGATCCACGGTGGATCTGGCTGAAAAAGGCCAGATCTAAGGCCAAAGATCTGGTCGTTAACGACCAGATCTTTGGCTGTAACTAGACATCAACGACGGCCAACATATGGTCGTCATTGACTATCATCTTTGGTCGTCGTTGACGAGCAAATGCGGCCAGATCTAACCGTCAATGGCCAGATCTAGCTGTAGATCTGGCCTTTGCCGGTGGATCTGGCTGGCAAAGGCCATATTGGCGCACGACCGACAAGATCCAACCGGTTATGCGCCGATACGACGACTCCGACCACCCGCCGGCGGTGATAGCCGGCTGTGATTATTCAATGGGTGGGTTGGGGGTGTTTTTGTTAACTTTTAAAGTTTTATTATAGGGGTGTTTAGTAAATAAACAAACCTAGGGAGTATTTTTATTAATTTTTAAATCTTACATCGTAATACCCGTCCAATTCAATTTTTTTTAACTTTTTTCAAAAAACTTTTCTAAAAAATGCAAAAAAGTGAATCAAACGGACCCTTAACTTCCTTAGAAATTGGAGCTTAGAAAATATGAGTATGTTTTGGCACTTATGAAGGAGCCAAAAAAAAAAAAAAGTCAAATAAATTTAGATTATAGATTAATAAATAACACATTCGATGAACAAAATCCTCAAAAGTTGATAAAAAAATCAAACACACAGGGTTCTGTTCAGTCGGTTTACTTCAAACGCTTAATGTAAACCAACTATAACCACGTATTACTATTACAAGGTTGAAATGAAAGCATATATATATATATATACACATGGTGTTCATTAATTTGGTTCTTCCCTGTAGTTGTGAAAATGAAAATGGTACTTTATTTCTCGTTGTGATGCGACGAGAGGTGGATGAGAGTTGTCGAGATAGTTAGCTTTCATTTTAAAATGAAACATTCAAAGCTCACTGATCAGTTCT